TGGAGCACTGCCTCGCGAGGATGTGCGCGTACTGCACGCTGTCGCGCAAGACCTGGGAGGCCGAATTTCCGGGGTTCGAGTTGATGGCCAATTTCAAGGTCTTTTCCCTAGCGAACGGTTCACAGACGCCGCCAGACTGTAGCTCCATGCTGGAGGTTTTGGCCAAGGCCATCTGCGTGCATTTTCCAACGCTGAGGATGGAGTACGATGACTTCCGTCCTCTGGCGGCGAAGTTGGCCAAGAAGGAGGGCCTCAGTAACTTCGCTGCCTGGAAGAGATCCCTGGAGGTGACAACGAGGCAGAGGGCGAGCCACCCAGCGACAGCCTTGTTGCCAGTCCTGGCCCGGTATGGCTGCTGGTCATCGTCTACCTCGAGTGTGGAGCGGGGTTTCTCCATGGCGCAGCAGGCCAAAAACCCAGGGTGCTCGCAGGATCAGCACGTCGCGCGAGAGGAAGACGTGCTCATCCTGAACCAGGACGTTATCCCAAAGATGACGGACAAGGTGCAAACAGAGCTGTGCCAAGCTGCCGCGTGCGTCTGGCGAGAGACTTGCAGCCGTGTTCGCGCCAGTGGCGTGAAGAAGCGCGCCGAGCGGTGGGACAAAGGGATTTCGTGCAGGCCAGAGTGGGATTATCTACATCAAGCACACAGTCTTTCTACTCTGTGTCAGTCTCCCGTTTTGAGGCCTAAACCTGGACCCCCAACCTAAACCCCGCAACCATCAACTTCTGATTGATTGGGCAACCTTATTCGCAGGTCGCCGAAGACTGGAGAGGCAGGCTTCCTGAAGAAGCGGGCGGACGCCACCGATGCCCTCGTGCATGCCGACACTCCCGGAGTGGCGCCCATTGGGGTGGATGCCGTCAGCGACGTGTTTGCGGAGGGTCACCGCAAAGAGCTGCGCTTCATCGGTGAGAAGCTCCAGAAACGTAAGCTGGAAGCATACCTGCAAGGCCACTTGCCTGACCGGTGCATCAATGAAGACTTGCAGACGGAAGCAGAAGCTCACAAGGGCAAGCTGCAAAAAGCGCAGCGTGTGCGCAACAACCACCATCGACTTGCGCAGCGGCGGACACTCTGCAAGGAGGACTTTCTGCGTCCATGTCAGATGTAGGCCTGCAAGCCGCGTAGATAGGGGTTTGGGTTGAGTGTTGAGGGCACAGGGCGTTAGGGTCTAGGGTTGAGGGTTCAGAGTCTGGTATCCTATATCGCAACCCACCGAAAATTTGCAAGAATGCAGCTTCATGGGATGTCCTTTTGTGCAGGATGTGTGGAACGCTGAAATGAGAGTATTCGTCCACGCCAGCGTCGGACAAGCTGGACTCAGGCTGCCTGGCAATCCAGGTGTCAACGAACAGTGGCAAGCTGA